CCCCCCCCAATTATCGTTCTGGCTACGGCATGCACTGATCACTTTTTTATACAAACGGCCACCACTTCAACTGCCAACCACACTCGGACAACTTGCACCCATCACAATATTATATACAAATGGTGGTGACCCCCCCCCCCCCCAAAGAAAAAAACCCAATATAAAATAATATCAAAATAACTCTGCATACCTATTTAATAATGGAGGAGGAATGGAGGGAGTTTTAACTTTTCGTTTTATTCCGGTATAGATCTGATCAGTACACTTTGCGCGCCAAACAGCTAATTATCATATGTTGCACGAACAGCTAGCGCATACAAGGCCAACTTCCGGATCACGCGCGTGGCTCACTAGCTTTATATGACCCCGGTGTTTACTGGGGCGGGGATGGAAGGCGGCATGATTTTGATGTGTTGAAATGAATAACTAGGTTTAAACGAAAGTTTAAACGTCGTTTAAAAGAACTCAAATGTTGTGGAGAAGATCTCTTAGTCCAAGACCAGAAGAATATTGCTGCTTGAACAACTTTTCATTCACAATTATACTTTAGTATTTTTGCACAAGTGTACATAACAAGTCCTACAAGTTGATTGCTCAAATTTGACGTATTAAGTATAGGTTATTTTGAGGCAACGAGGGGATATAACAAAACCGAAATTTACAAAATGGCGACTAGCCGTTTTCTGGAAGTTACTGATAAGGAAATAAGCGAAAGCGGTAAAATAAAATTCAGTCCCAAAAACACAAAAAAAATTTGTGTAAAAATACTAAAAAAATTATTCGCCTCAGGCTCGGTGATTATCGGGTAATATTCACCGAGACGAATAATTGTTAAATAATCTTTCGCTAGAATAATAATATAGTTTTGCTGAATCATAAACCGTGACTTTTTTCAATCCGTCAAAATTATCCCGCCTCACATTTCGTCCCGGGAAAGTGGGGTCATGTAAACAACCCTAACTTTGGTTAATATATAACCTCGTGAAACCACAAATTCACCTGCCCGGGCAAGTTGTATAAAACTCTAATTAGTTCTAGAAATTTCAAAATCATTGACAAATGAAACGATGTTCGAGATATTTTCATATCAAACAAACTATACAGTATTTGATCTATTGTTAGGATAAGTACGAGGATCTAAATATATATAGCAAACCTCGGTATGTCCAGTTGGATGAAACGTTCTTAGGTTAGGAATACATATATATAGCTAATTTATACATATTGGAACTCCACAGGTTGACCGAGCTCTTTTCTTCCATTCTTTCATCGGATTCTCCTCATTCTTTCGTATCTCTCTTGTCAGTACATCATCGTTCAAATTTCGACCATTCTTTTCTTCCTCACGGAGCCATACCCATTTCGGACTCGCCAAGCACAGGGTCACGGTAGATAACACAAGCAAGATGACCAAGAAATTGTTGGAAAATACCATGATTCTTCAACAGCAGTTATACTTATATTTTGTATAGTCCTTCTGTTTATGTGCAGTATTGATCGCTATCGAACACAATGAAGAACTAAATGTTTGCGGGCACTCTTTTATAGAAAAACCTAGATCCATAATTGCCCCAGATGGTGCCATATTGTGGCAGTCTAATAGGTTCGATCTCGACCCACACTGCAAGCTATTACTCCCATCGGCATAGTTTAATTGGTTTACGTAAAACCATTCAATTTAAAACACCTACTAAACAAGATAAAACACAGCATGTAAAGTTGTTTTAGGCCATATAAAATAAATTCCTTGATTCTCATCGCTAAATTTTAAAAACTCCCAGGAGGCGGGAGGTTTATATTTTATGTCAAAATATAAAAAAAAAGTTTAAAATTTAAAAAATTGGAGAGGGAGGTCTTTTTATATTTGCCCTTAAATATATTATAGAAGAACGCTATATAAGTGGATAATTGCACATGCGCTAATGAACATGCATAAGGGTCCACACAAATCGTTGTAATAAGGCTATAAGCCCATTTTTTCCTTCAGTATTCCAAGCATCCCTTAACATGTTGCAATATTAACGATAAAACAATTTTATATCGCAAAAATTTCAATATAAAATATAAAAATAACTAAATCTCTGAAGATGCTCGGTCGGGCGGTAAATTTATATTTTATAACAAAATACAAAAATATATCAACGCGGAAACCAAAATATCGTCTGGCGGTGATGAGAATCAAGGAATTTATTTTATATGGCCTTATTATTATTTTTTAATGATTATGAAGACCTTATTTAAATACCGGACTATTTCACTAAATTACTATTCACTTACCAAGAAAAACAAAAATATATACGCGGTGTAAAATATGTGCAATATAAGAAAATTATAGTGGTAAATTTCTTACACCTATATGCTCCCAAAAGCTCTGGAACCATATACCCTCCAAATTAAATTAAGTTATATTATTTTTAATGGAGTGGATAGTTTCCGAGTTACGCCAAGCCACCGCACCCCTGTATATAGCTAAATGTTTTTTTTCTTGAAATTATAGAGGGGGGTGTTCAATAATTTTAAAGATTTTTGGCTAGAGACCTATATACTAGAAATCTTCGTATAGACTTATTATTTGGGCCTCTAGTTATATTCATTTGTATTAGATTACGTAATTATTTACAGTCAATCAATATGTGAAGTCATAATAATGTTTTGAAGTAAACTATATTTAGAAGAGAGAAAAGGAATGGATTTTCGTATTACAGATATAGAAGCGAACACTAATAGAGAGACATTGTCTGTTGATAATTGCCCATGCACGCGGCTGGACGATAATAGATAACGCTTGTGTCTTAAACTCTTCCAAAAGATCGAAACACAAAGTGGCAATAAACTTAACTCACTTATTCCTTAAACAAGGCTCAGTATATGCATGGCAGCTTCGCAATCATGGATAAACGGTTATAATTTCATGTATCGCTGTTTATGAATGCTGAGCCCTATCCTTACCCTGACTCGAACCCTATAACCGCTGATCTTAACTCATGAACAGCGAGACATGAATTTATATCCGGATAAACTTTCAATTTTTAAGTGCATTCTAACGCTATATAGGTTAATTATAATGAAAGAATTGATCAGGCACGCAATGAGCAAACGAGACAAATATACAATTCAAATATCTCCAGCCAAAAATCAAACATTCTATAAAACATATACTACTATACTGATATGTATATAAAATATAGCACTTTAGTATGTATATATTGCAGCCGAATCTTTCTAAGAATTCAAATGCATCGACACATTATTATCATTACGGTTTATTAAGTGTAGAAAATTGCACCAAAGTGAAATACTTTATATTTACAAAAAGCTTTAAAGACCACGAGGCCATTAAAACTTAAAAGTTAAAAGTTAAAAGGTTCAAATAGATAGAATTGTTAAAAATTATATTAAAGTTATTACAGCATAAAAAAAGTTTGACAAAGAGTTTGGAACATGCATTGAATTTCGGACGTTAAACATTAATGTGTCGAAATTAAAGATGAGAAATTAATCCTATATATACAGTAAAACCACTCGAACTCGCTTAACTCAAACTCCCCGCTAATAATTGATCAATGAAATTCAACTTTTCAATGGACTAATAGACTTGTTTTCAGTATTCTAAATTATAAAAATGATCTGTTTTATAAAGATTGAACATGTTACATTATTTCGACGAAACTCGAGAGAAATTTTCATTATCGTTTGAGTTGAGAATATTTATAATATTTTATACAAAGGCTAAAAGCGTGTTCTTTAATGAAATAATTTTTTTAAATTACATTTGCACGATAAGACCTTTTCCTTTGATAAATGCATGTGTATAGGTGAAAAGGACCGTCTGTGTTTTAAAACTGAACACACACAAATTGGCCATATGGCTAACCCCACAAATGAAATGACAAAGTGCTGATGTTCATAATTATATATAGCATAATAGTATAAGCAAAATTAGCAATAGACATATCGTAATCTTAATATACTAGCACCTTCGTCAAAGATAAGTAATTGATACGTAGGCAGCAATTGTATATATGCATGCGCTTCTGTGCTATCCAATGTGCTATACTAATACTGAGACAGAGAGTTATTCGTTTTATATACCAGAGCCTCTTTTGAAAACTACTCATATATAACTATAACATAAATAAAGTTAGTTTGTTTACAGCTTTCTTTACTGTAGTAATACTGGACCCAGTCTATAGGGAGAACAGTTTAGAACTGATAAGGCTATCATGCAGCTTATATATAAATGTTAATTTATGACCAGGGAATAGACTAGACCGCATCACAGATCAGCTTGTGTTTTCGACAAACATGCATTGCGCTGAAAGTTATTCAATTTGTTAATGAACTTTATTGGCAAACATGTACAATACCGACGAAATCGTTACATAACAATGCTTGCACTCCATATTACAATCGTAAATTCACATGGCTGTTGTTTCTTATTTAAGTCACAAAAACATTTATTTGATAGATGTATATTAATATATTATACATATATGCATTTTTACCGATTGGTTATCTTTCAAAAAGTATTTATGCTTATTTATTGTGCAAATGTATTTGTGAATATTAACCAATATAAAGTTGTTATCCGAGAAAGAAAGATATACTCCCACATGAAAGCTGTAGAGGAATAATACGGCACAAGTTTAATCACTGAAGGCCTGTTTTTCGAAGATGCAAGTTGTGTGAAATTTTTATATATCTCGCTATAGAAATTTCAAAATCATTGACAAGTCAAACAATGTTCGAGATATTTTTATTACGAACATACTACAAATACTCCATAATATTTGGTCTAATGGTTAGGATAAGTTCATCTAAATATATACCAAACCTCGTTACGCGCAGGTTAAAAAGTTCTTAAGTTATGAATACATATAGCTACACGATGTTAACCGGTTTGTCCTTCAAAGTTCACTAATGTCAAGTACAAACTGGGTAATTACAGGGAGTTCGCCGAGCATTTTTCTTCCATTCTTTCATCGGATTCTCGTCAATGTTTTGTATCTCTCTGGTTAATACACCATTCTTCAAATTTCGACCATTCTTCTCTTCCTCACGGAGCCACACCCATCTTGGTCTCGCCAAACACAGGGTCACGGTAGACAACACAAGCAAAACGACCAAGAAATTCTTAGAAAATCCCATGACTTCCGACTCAAGACTTGATATTTTCCCGGTTTTTTTGTGTTGTTCAATATTGACAATATTGCTTACCTGCTAACACGATAAAGTTTTGGATGTTCCATCTGACTTTATATACAGCGCAAAACACTTCAATTACACCAGGTGTTCTCATTTGCATGCTGCGTATGTTGTAGAGCGCAACGCAGTATAATTAAGGCGGTATAACTGCTCTATATAATGATTCCACTTGCATATAAGTGAAAAAAGAACTATCTAGCATTGACCCTTCTAATGTAAAGTAGTTTTAAAAGTTGCATAATTGCTTTATATAAACCGACGAAATTAAATTAGATGAAAGAAAATTACTGGATCGCTGAAAGTATATATAAGCTTGAACTGTCTATTCCAGTGTAGGTAGTGGCAATGATAAGAACGTTTTTCGGATTGATAGGGATACAACTACCTGCATGAGAAACACAAGGAGAACTTCAAAGTTTTCTTTGTATTTTTCGCTATAACTCGAACTCCCAAGGGAAGCGAAAAACCGTTCGAGTTGGCGGGGATTCGAGTTAAGAGGGTCGGCGTGGATTTCGTTTATTTTGTTAATAATTAACAAAGTATAGTCGTTCTATTATTCATCACAATTGTGAGACATTACAGTTCACTCTATAAATAACTTACAAAGTTTGAGCTACTGTTACCTAAGTTAAACTCAGGTAAATAGACATTAGTAGTCATATTCATTTGGGGCTTGCCTGTTTGACCACTACTGTAGTTGCTTTCTTCTATAACCTGTAATTAGGAATTATAGGAAGCAACGAAGTTATTAAATACAAGAACAAATACAAACAACACAGTGCGGTGTTATTAAACCTATCACAGTCCTTATCACAGTGTGTAACAGTACAGTATACCAACCAATAGTACCTATAAGCTAGATCAGTAATGATCGACTCAACTTGTTGAACCGTTTGTCTCTTTATTGACTTGTATTACCGTTTGTATATATCATGTACCGATTAAATTGTTGAAAAATCTTTATGAAGCCCACCCCCCCCCCATTCAGACCCTCTCTTCATTCAGGCCCGATCATAACAAAGAAACACATGTGTATATTGACTATGTTCTTCCCCCACTCTCGTCCGAATAGGCTTTTTTGCGGGGGGTTTAGTTTTTACGCGGGGTTTAGTTTTTACGCGGGCTGTGCACCTTGAAAATGTAAGGCATTTCGGGGTAATTGGTGAACGCGCGCGCGGGGCGTTGTACAGCATGCTCCCTCTGTCGTCTTTAAAAATTCGTGTAGAACTGGCAAAAATGCCTGAACACTTAAGGCCGATTTCCATTGCAGTCGCTTTGCCCGCGCGGGCGGTGCGAACATTACTCAACCTTCTCTCTAGTTGTCTAACCTGTGCATTTTTTGTCCGCCTGACTGCTCGCGAACACGCCATGGAAGTTGAACCACATTCAACTTTCTTAGCGTGCCCGCGCGACTGATTTTTCACGTGATTAAAATTGGTCGCTTCACCCGCGCGGGCAAAGCGACCGCAATGGAAAATGGCCTTTATATGACAAGCCAGCCTCTGCACCATGTTTTAAGATGTCGTTAGTTCTCTGATGTCATTTTGTAATGTTTGTGATGTTACTCTGAGTGTGCATCCACACCGGGCAAGCTGAAAAGTTCGCCTGACCACGGTGGGAATCAGACCCGCCATCTTTGGGATGCTAGTCCATTGCTCTGCCAACTGAGCTACGAGGTCAAGTCGGTTCGAGGTTGGTGATATTTCGGAACTGAGTCCAGTTCCTTCGATATCAATCTATTCTAGGATATGACATTTTTTTGTGTGTGTTGGTGTAAGTGTTTTTGTGTTCATTTTGTAAGTTTGTTATACTGTCTAAATTGTTCGTTATTAATGCTAATGTAATTATGTAATTTAAGGGGTCGCCGTAATTGGGGTAACCTGTGGCGTATTCCCTGGCGCTACATGTTGTATTTTTGGTAGTTGCCGAATTTCATGAAATTATTAAATCATTTTAGATTATTTGATTCCATTGAGCGAGCTCTTCTGAGCTGCGCATTGAGACGATACGGACGAACCTTATTCTCCTGCACGTGATCAATCCATTGGAGGGAATACAATTAAAGAAGGCAAGGTAAGATTTGTCTACAAGAAACAATCAGTCGGATATGATTTGTCATTTCGGCGTATGGAAATTACTGCTGGCTCCATCGAATTCCTCTCAATCAGTTTGTGGCGGAAATTTTTCCAGCGCCATGTGCATTCGATTACATACGCCAAAATAAGAATCATATACGACTAATCGTATCTTGCCGTCAAGTATCGACCGATATGACGTCATAGATATAGTGTTTCCGAAAATAAGGAGATATACGTTGTCGTATAGGCGAGTTGTGTCATGCTTGATTTACACAGTACAACTCAAGTTGTAAGAAGGTTGCATGCATGGGGCAATGGACCATTTGTATTATAGACTAAATTTTGATCTAGACAAGTCTAGACAAAAATTTCATCACAGCTTGAAAGAGCATCACAAAATTAGTAATATTCCAAAGTTTCGTTGCGAAATATTGTAAAATGCGGATAATATAGCCTTGTGAAGTTTGCCGTTTTTCAGTCATTTTGTATTACGCATGGGAAATTGACAGCCCAATCGGGTGTTGGGGCATCAATTTCCCGTTTGTAATACAAAATGACTGAAAATTGCAAATTTCGCAAGGCTATATTATCCACATTTTACAACATTTCGCAACGAAACTTTGGAATATTACTAATTTTGTGATGCTCTTTCAAGCTGTGATGAAATTGTTGTCTAGACCAAAATTTAGTCTATGATGCAAATGGTCCATTTTAGGCAAATTTTGTGTAGTGTAATTCGGTCTTTAAAAGGAAAGGAAATAGTATATGTATCTTAGTTGAAAATACATGGAAATCAACTATTTTCCATAACAGACCGAATTTGCTATAGCTGGCAATGAAAGCTACGTATTTACAATGGATTACATTGTCTGCCTCGATTTCAAGCTATTGTTTCGTGTGCGCTCAAGCGAATTCGGGAAGTGCCCTGCGAACGGGTATACTCTGCCTGATGAAATTAGGGAATCATTACGGTCTGCGGAGGAGGAGGTGGGGTCTGTATTGCCACTATATTGCCACTGCATGTTTCCATGCTATATGAAAATAGTACCCACTATGTATGTAAGTTATGAACTGGCATCACAACAATATAGTAATTCTAGGAATTTCTTATTTCAAATATTCATGACAATACTTAATTACGAGTCCAATAGTCTCATCACATATTGGTAAATTATCAATAACTCTGACTAAATCGTTCGTTGGAATGTTTAATAACTATTCATCAGGAAATGGTCTTTCTTCTATTCTTTCATAAAATTCCTACCATTCGTGAAAGTTCACTAATGCCAAGTACAAATTGGGTGAATACAGGGAGTTGGTCGAGCTCTTCTCTTCCGTTCTTTCATCAGATTCTCTTCATTCTTTCGTATCTCTCTTGTTAATACATCATCATCCAAATTTCCACCATTCTTCTCTTCCTCACGGAGCCATACCCATCTTGGTCTCGCCAAACACAGAGTCACGGTAGATAGCACAAGCAAAACGACCAAGAAATTCTTAGAAAATCCCATGACTTCCGACTCAAGACTTGATGCGACTTCGCGTGCAGGAGTTCAACTTCTCGAAACTTGATGATGTAGGAGTCTTTTTGATCAACCAATATCGTTCACTTTCTAACACAATGATGAACTGAACATTTGACCCGACTTTTATAGCACAATATAGCACACCAGATGTTCATATTTCTGCACCCGTTTGCTATACCAACGCCATAAGATAACGGTTAAAAAGCAGTTGAAACCTGAAAATATTTCTCTTACTGATTAGTTAATTACTTCTTGAGACATTCGTTTACTAGAAATCGTCCTACTTTAGGGACTGGTTTAAGAAGACGCTCAAGTCTTACTTAGAAAGTTCCATCTGCAAACCCATAAATATATAGGCTATAGTTGTCGCTTTGGCCACTTGTGAGAAAACGCTTTGAATGTTGCTATATTATTTCCATTTTGGACAAGATGAGAAGCTCTTTGTAACATTTGTTTCACTTAACGATTTTTTATTGCTGATATGATCGAAAAGGATAGACGCTTGTTTATAAATTTAATTACTGATAATATTTTGTATGTATAGGCTACTCATGATAAAATGATAAAAGAACGGCTGTATTTATATACAAAACGATCAAGATAGATATATTGCCTCCGCACGCAAATATACAAATGGCTGATCGTTCAAATATCAATGCAATAATTCTTTTGACCATTTTTAAACGGGCTATATTCCATAAAAGCAGTCTCACGCCGGGACCATGCAGTAATGATGAAGCATCTGAGGGGAGGGGGGGGGGGGGGAGGGGTTCAACTCTATTTCCCAGCCAATATTTTGCCTGATTCCTTCCATTCCCAGCAGCAAAAGTGCTGGTCCTTCACATTGCAGCTGCTATATCGTCTCCATACACCTACAATGGCGCCGGCTGCTCGAAATTTAGCTTTTATATTTATACTCTTCGTGGGTCCCCTTTGCGGTAGCGAAAATTAAAAAGCGCCTTAATATACGATCGAATTATGTATAGAAGTTCACACAAGTGTGGGGGATATATGAATAAAGACATATTTTTAATTTTAGCTAACTGTTATACCAAATTAACTTGAGCGAATGCATAATTCGTTTATACATACACAAGATAACAATGTGATCATGCATATACTAAATGGTTTTCACCAGACTCTATAGGATCTCGTTAGTCCACATTGATCGCATGTATGACCTTAATCTACCTTTGTGCTAAATTTGGAAAAAAAATGAAACGTCTTTGCGTTTAAACTAACATTGTGTTTTCATGCATGGTATTCCGGCATTTGTTCGCACTCGTATACAAACAGCCATTATTTATTAATTTTATCTTTAGAACAATCGTTCGTTATGTGTGTGTGTTATCAGTTTGAATTTCTTCTGAAGGAAACGTCTTTTACGCGCGCTAATTATTTTTTAAAAGTTATCCCTAGATCTTAATTTAATTAATAGATTTTATACTGTTTATTGCACGCACTTTTGACCGAATTTCCTTGTTTTCATAGCGGGTGTATATGAAGTTATATCTCCATGTTTCCTGCATGAATATGTTTCTCTTTGATCTTGAACCCAATCACAAACCTATATATCCTTAAACCTACTGCGTATGCTTGAAACACAGAAATATAAGCGCATGAAATCGAGGCCACGCGTTGGGGCAAGAGTGTATGCAAATAGTGCAAAATGTGCACACCATTGTCTTGTTTTTTTTTTATTTAGTAAATTTGGCAGAGGATTGTTGATCTTCTTTCGTTTAAGAGTTTAAGTGCCGTTTTGTACACAGCTTGTGGAGTCGCTGTAAATAATCATGCGTCGCCATGCGCGCAAAACATAATATTTACAAAGTGCACTTGAAACGCTCTGCATCATTTATTATACAGAAGCTGAAAATAAATTCACCAATGTTTTAAATATTTATTATATTTGCACTAAGAACTTTCTACACCAGCCATTGTTTCATGGAAACCTATACACTCTAAATTCAAAAGAGTTAAAACGACGCGCCAAAGAGTCGTTCTATGGGAACAAACTATTATTTTGCCGTCGTGAATTAACACTATAATCTATATCTTGTTAAGAATAGATTTAAGTTACGCATAATATCGCATGTTCAAACGTGTAAATATATATATATATATATTATATATATATATATATATATATATATATATATATATATATATATATATATATATATATATATATATATATATATATATATTTGATTCGTGACAGCAATTAGAGGCGACAACGTCAAATGAAAATAAAATACAGCAACTGTACATGTTACCCTTATCATTTTATCATGAGAATTTTTATGCGACGTTTTACATTACATTATTCAGCTCATTCACAGTTGAGATATTACTTTCCTAAATCCTAACCGTGTTTATCCCTAACCCACCCTGTCAACTTTCCCTTGAAAACCGGAGAAAACCCACGACTTTCGGCAGAGCGTTGACTGACTCTTTTCACATGAGTCCGTAGCGAGAATCAAACCCACGAACTCAGAGGTGAAGACGCTTACTCTGATGACTGCGTCAGTGCGCCACCGCAGCCGAAATGACTACAGCCCGCGCATGCACCTGCATGTGAAAAGTTTTGCGTGACAGTTCTTTTTTAATGTTTCGTGTTTCCTCGGTGACAGTGTATAGGTAGCGACGATAACGTACAGCTGTGGTGTGAGAGATATACTACTATACCTGAACTAAAAAATAAGCAGAATCTCAACGTTTCGAGCTGCTCCTTTCGTAGGGAATGTAGTATATTTTTCAGGTACTGCATGCGTCCTATCATAACGCAGCTGCATGTGTCTGTTTATAAAATTTAGTGAGTTCAAACACAACTCTTCATGTAATGAAAACGTCAGGAAAACATGGAGTCCGATTATTGAGGTGCATATTGGAACATATGAAGCTCAACTAAATATAAACACTGTATATATGCATGAGAAAATATATATATATACTCGTTCCTACAAGCATTTTCTAATTATAACTGTAAAGCTCAAAATATATATTAGCACTGTCTGAGCAAATACTCGTTTGTAAGCATTTTCGTATTTAGACGAAGTTCCTCACGATTATCGGATTTTGTGTTGGTATCTTGGATGCATGTTTTATAAACATAATGAGAAAAATATTGATTGAAATGACAAATGTCATTACTACATACTGTACATTTTTCTGCAGCTCACTCCCCATTGGCTCTTTTCACTGACCGATTACATCGAGTATTACGCTTACTTATATTACCTATACTTAGCCTATACACGGCAAAAAACGCCGAGCCCGTTGCTCAACAGGACTGAACAATGTTTTGCTGCCCACGTTGTTCACACTTGTCAACAATATCGAACAATGTTGTTGAGCCTGAATCGGGTGTAACAATATTGTTCAATATTGTTGACAGCTATGAACAATAGGGCCATTTATACAAGCGAAAATAAGTCGCGGCCTAAATATGCCGCGGCTTAAATAAGTCGCGAACGACCCGTATAAACAGTCAATTTGCAATAAGCCGCGGCTAAAATAAGCCCAGGTTTGAAAGCTAGGCCTAAATTAGCCGCGGCTTATTGCAAATTGACTGTTTATACGAGTCGTTCGCGACTTATTTAAGCCGCGGCTTATTTTCGTTCGTATAAATGGCCCTAATGTGGGCAGCAAAACATTGTTCAATCCTGTTTTCATCAGTATTGCATCAACCTGAGCGTTTTTACGCGTGTACACGCGTAAAAATTGAGAAAATCAACAACTTGTTGCAAGTTGATATCGACATGCGTGAACAAGGTTGTGCGGCCCACTATGAACAGTATTGTCAACATGTAACATGTTGTTACAACATTATTCAACTGTATAACAACTTGGAACAACATGGTTGACAACTTGTTCATAGTTGGCCGCACAACATTGTTTGCACGCCTGTCGATATCAACTTGCAACAACCTGTGCATTTTTAGCCCTGTAGATTACTAATCTTTACAATAATTGTGATATCACTTTCCTAACTATGTTTATCCTAACCCACCCTGACAATTTTCCCTCTGGGAGGAAACCGAAGCAGCTGGAGTAAACCCACAACTTTCTCTGGCAGAGCGTTGACTGAATCTTTTCAACTCTTTCACATGAGTCCGTAGCGAGAATCGAACCCCATGATCTCCGAGGTCAGAAAGGTGCTTGCTCTGAAGGCAAGGAAATTTTTACACAAGGAATTTTTGCTGCGATTTGCCTTCAGTCCCTACGCTAACCCATAATAGCAAGGCATGAATCTATCATGCACGCCTTAGTCTTAGATAAAGAGCCATAGCCTGGCTACAACTCGCGCACATTGTGCAGGTGATGGCGGCCCGCATTCAGCCGACACTTTTCGTTATATATGTACTTAAGGCATGAAAGAATGTTGGGAAATTAAACATGTTGGGAATGCTGTGTTTTAGATAACATATGCCTCTGTATCCGAAATCTCGCGTTGCAAGTTACTGAACATTTTCCTGGTGTATAACCTTGACGTTACATTTTCACAGATCGTATGTATACATTACTGACTATACATGAACAATTTAATTTGTCAACGAAACTTGTATAAATTAAGAAAACGTTGCTCATTTTTGCGACGTTTATGCAGTTATTTGTTGTTTAAAGTTCACATGAAACGAAAATGTTATTGTCTTATTTAATATAATTATAAAACTATAGAGTAACTTTTGCAGTTTTTCCTTCCTTAGCCTCGTTTTCAAGCTATTTCAATGAGTTCGGTATACGTGTCAAGGATTCTATATACGTCGCAAATATGCATAATGAGTTATGAGATTCAGTTGTACATCCTTACTACTATCAAACAAAAGCGCATTATAAAAGTATGTTGTGCATTTGTGTTGTACTCGGATTCTTCTATAGACATGCATATAGTAATTTCATTTCATAATAACAAGAATATATAATATTTTCAGTAAACTCATTATGCATTTTGTGATCGAAACCTTGACCGATGTATATCGAACTAAACTGAAATGTCTTGAAAACGAAGGAATAAAACTATAAAAACTGCAAAGGAAGTTACTCTGTACTTTTTGTAGTTCTTGTAAATAACTCAATAAAAATTTCCGTTTCATACGCACAGTAATCATCTTTGTCAACACAAATTTCGGCAAGTTCAATTGACACGACCCCGCGTAATTATATTTCTTCAATGATTGACTGGTTAAGTAAGTGTTTGTTCTTTGTGATGACCTGATCTGTGTATAGGGCCAAGGTCCAAGTGCTGTCCTTACCGCATAAAACAATAATCCATACATTGTATACAAACAATTTTAGTTTCTAATAAAGTGTTGGGCATTATTTACGAATTTTACTGATCGCCTCATTTAAGCCGTTATAGAATAATTGCACCTGTTATTGCTAGGATAACAAACGTTCCCAAGACAACCTCGTACCCAGTGCTTTTGCATTTGTGGCTGTCTGAAGCTCTGGATACGAGATTGTTTTCTAAGATAGTCACAGCCTCATTCCGGGCCATTTTTCGCGCGGTTCTAGTGAGTACATTTTCTGAATAATTGTATTGAAGTATGGTTGAGAAAGCCGTCAAATTATACGCAATATTGAAAGTTCTTATATATACCGTATCATATGTGTGTCTGTCAATACGACGACTTAAAAAACTGTCAAACCTTTTGATACGAAACTTTGTGGTGAGACTAATGGTCATTGCCCAAGGAGAAATTGATTAAATTTCGGTTACATTTGGTCTTGACAATTGGATGAGAAATTAGCGTAATTCGCTCATTGTGTAATTTATGCACGATACATTACTTCATTCGACTTCTAGATTACATTATTACAGGCTAACAACATGGGGTATAAGTTTATCTTTAGTATCCAGTGAACCACGGTTAGTGAACCCAGTCCAGGAGGACAGTGCAATGGGCAGCAGGGAAAATATCAGGTGGCCCTCCTGCACATCCTGCTGTTCGGGACAGAGGGTGAAGTGTGAAGCTGACCAGTATGTAGGCTTCACTATTTTGTATCATAGAATTAGGTTAATATATGTTGTATAGTGTGCACGGCCCATTGAAAATCAGCGTAGCATGCTGAATGGCTACCGTGCTTAAATAATTTTAAAGATTAAAGGGTCAAGACTTCGACAACCGCACCTCCCAAGCGCTAAAAAGTACGCATGCTAAATAGACCAAGAGCCTTATGCCCGATAGCGAGACGTGAACAGGCTCCGATATAGTTGTTTATCAGTCGAGTTTCTCACTCATTATTGGTGAGCTGCATGGGCCCGGTTGTACGAAGGCCGGATAGCGCTATCCACCGGATAATGATTCTTTCAAGCTTTGTTAAATCAGTCGTTGATTGGTATAACTCGTATTAAAGTTAAGTTAAATGTTTTTTATACTTCTTGTGTCGTCTATATCCGTAGTTTCACAGTTTTTCAAGCATTTTACAAAGGTTGAAAAAATCACTATCCGGTGGATAGCGCTATCCGACATTCATACAACCGGCCAACGGGCTATTGGCCAATTGATAGGGGATCCGAGGTACCTACGATTTGAACGTCCTTATTCCAGAAGACGCGAAAGTCTAACCATTTACTGATGTGAAGGTAGCGCTTTCTCCTCGATTATTTAAAGACCCTGAGTGGAGGTCCGACCAACCGGCTTTGTTTTGTTTAGACATCGTCAAAAATTCAGATGTTTTGTAGAAAATAAATTTAAAATTACAAATGGTACATGAAACTACGAAAGCTTATAGAAGATTAACAATATAGGTACTAAATTTATTGAAAAATATCGCGTAAAGTTTATAGAAATTAGTCAAAATTTTATAGCAACACAATTCGGAAAGTGGACTGACCAAAATTGCCGAAATCCTGCTTCAGTCGAGGTTGTGAAGTTACCTTGGGGAACGTCTATTGCATCTGTTTTCAATATTTATTTCCACAAACAAAATGTTCTATAACTATAAGCTATAGGAAATATTTATTATTTAAGCCTAAATTCGGGTATAGGCTATTGCCATCTGCAAAAATTCATTAATAATTAATTTTTTGTGATAATTTTACTTTGTCCCACACTTTACTGTATAGGTGGAAAGCGTGTAAATAAATGGACGTGCATTAAACATTTTAAGATTCCAAGTTGAAAGATCTTATACTACTTAAAAACTTAACACATTTATTGTTCATGAGCATATTAGCCTGTCAAATCAATCATTTATCCAATGATTCCGATTGAACACGTTTATGAAATATCTTGATAAAAAGTCCAGATAAAATTTTGTAGTCTCACTGTAAGTTGTTAAGACAAGAAACAATTAATGCGCGCGTAACACTTTTGTTTTAAACCTGACCCGTGCTGGTTCATTCATTGAACAGCACTTACATTTTCGGCATGCGTGGCGTCGGTAAAACAAACGTATCCTTTATCGTGTCAAAGCTGTAAACACCTGCAGGTCTTTGCAAGCCAAGTATGCTGCCCTATAAAAGCCAAACATTCAATATTTCATTGTGCTCAAAAGTGAACAGTAAAACATTCTGCTAAATACAAAGTTGCTGTTGAAGAAGCGTTCGAAAAGCTGAACTCCTGCAAAAGTCATGAAGAATTTCTTGGTCATCTTGCTTATGTTATCTACCATGACCCTGTGCTTGGCGAAGCCGAAATGGATATGGTTCGATGAGGAAGAGAAGAATGATGGGGATTTTAACGATGAAGTCTTGACAAGAGAAAAAGGAAAGAATGATGAGAATCTGATGAATAAACCCCCGAAGTGTCCTGATAATAATGGTGCACCGTTTTGCCGTTACAAGGGAAAGAGACTAATTTCTAGGAATTAATATCATACAGTATATGTAAACTATTCATGATATTGATAATAAACGTATCAATCGATGATTTTTCTCTAAATAGGTTATTTCTCATCTTTCTTTGTTCATTAGAATTAACGAATTAACGGTTACTTGCCCTATTTCCGGGTTTGTGCGGTCCATTCCTTTATATAATTGCCTGGCCATTGCGCGTGTAGTCCAAGCGCTTGCGCACAAGCGCTTTTGGCGAAACCCCAGCTTCGTTTAGTAAACCGATTTGCTCGTCTGTAACTGGAACAAAACGGGGGAAATTTGTTTTGGTCTACGGCACGCAGGCGAGTCTGGAGGTGAATAGTGCAAGGGTATCCGAAGCTGAGCGACCAATCAAATTGCACGGAAAACACTATCCACCTCCTGAGTAACCTGCGAGCAGGCGTTTACTCCAACCCAAATAAACACCTGCTCGCATGGTACTTCACGAATAAAAGTTTCGTATATCTGCTCACCTGCGAACGGGCATGCTCTGGGACGAGATTGATATCTGCTCAAATAGTTTTCTTTAACAAGACATTTTATTTCGAAAGTGACAATGAACAGTTTACACCGGGTTTCGACGTCATTTCCCAAATAATTATATAACTGAAACATTTACATTAAATTTACCAAATTGGCAAATGCAGCGTTACGTTAGATAAAGTTTTCAAAAATACTTGAATGTGTGTTTGAACGACTTATCAACCAATTCAACAGAGGAAAAGTCACATATAAGAACAGCTTTTACTTTTTTTCCATTTTCGGTTTTTCCGGCCAAATAACAGGTATGATAAGCGTGTCTTCTCGTTGTCACATGGGCTGTTCCTTCACTTCTTTGGTGTAAGACGTAGTTACCGACGTTCTTTGACTTCGCAAGCTGACCGATGTGTGTTGCGTTAATCTCCGTGGACGGCTGTTTCTTTCTTTACCAACGAAAGCGAGCAAAGTTCGCCTGTAATCGGGTAGACGTAGGGCATATAGAATTGGGTTAGCCCCAAAATTCAACATGGCAATTGGTACGTAACAATAGGAGAGGTTAAACAATGTGTACGCGATTTCATCTTCACCAAGGTAGCCCAATCTCGTTAGAAAATCCAGTTGTTTCAATAAGAAAAAAGGAAAGGCGGTGAGGAAGAGAATCAGCGTAAGAATCATCACAGTCTTTGCGATATCCTTGTGCTTGGCATTTTGAGGATTTCCAGTGCTTCGTCCACTTCGAATTATCTCGAACGCAACTTGGATATTCAAAACTATTTGAACGACAAGTGCGATTTGCAGTACCCCTATACGAGCTGTCAAAATTTTTAAGCTAGTACGCCATTCTGCAGGGTAAATAAGCCATACGATGCAGCTGAAGCCCAACAGACATGCGAAGAGCCAGAGCGATATACAAACTAATGCAATCCTTGGCGTTGTGAGGCAGTAGCGACTTTTTAGCGGATATTTTGTGAGTAGGAAAATTTGCACAGCGAAGAATGTTAACAATAGGAACGAAGCAGAAACACTAAATCCCCAGCCAAAATTAACAATCCCGAAGTACAGATTGCTTGGAGTTTTGTAGAAATATGTATCTCCCCACAAACAGAAAGCTGATATGCATGAAATTAGGTCAGCGGTCGCCAAGTTGAGTATGGTTACCCATGGTCCTCTTCGAAGTATTTTCAAAGGGTCGATAACAATGGCAATGATTACAGCCAAGTTGAGTAGCATGCCCACTGCTGCCACAGACATAGTGGCGATTCCGATTTTCGTCATGTCTTCCCCAGTAAGTTGATACCTTTGCTGTATAAGAGAATATAATTTAAAAAAAATTGTTTCTGGTGTTATGCACCTAGGTGAAGATATATGTTTGGTGGTGGGAATAGAACCCGCGACTTTTGGTTTGCTAGTCTGTTGCTCTACTAACTGAGCTAGAGCATTGGTTTGAGCCACCGACTTGACCTCGTGGCTCAGTTGGGAGAGCATTAGATTAGCAAACCAAAAGTCGCGGGTTCAATTCCCACCGCGGTCAAGGAAATTTTTTCAGCCTGCCCGGTGTGGACACACTCAGAGACAACATCAAAGTAATAAACACCTTAGTTAATAACATAGCTGGTTTGGAAACTCACTAGAATAACAATATAACTCATTATCTATGTTAATCAACGTTTATTCATAAATCTGGTCGTTCACCGTCACGTGCGTATTGTATTTTTGCCCAGCTAACCAATAGCAATGTCTTAAGAAAGTCACCTATCCGTGACTCGGACAATAGGGTAAGTTGGAAATTGCTATTGGTGGATTTGGCAAAAATACAATACACACGTGACGATGAAGGACCATATTTATGAATAAACGTTGACCAACAGTCCAACATAGATAATGAGTTATGTTGTTATTCTAATGAGTTTCCAAACCATCTATTCTATTAACTATGTAAACACAAAGTAATGATTATTAATAATGCTTGTGAAACTCATTAATAATTCATGAAGAAAACACAAAACAAATCATGAGCGTGAAGGAGTTTATATCTGATACAAAATCATCTCAACAAAAATCATTTATTTACTTTAAACTGTTAAACTAAACTACCGCGCATGCACACACAGCAGTTGCGCTCTAAGCATGAGGGTCAGCTCATCACTATAGAGTGTGCCAAATACTTTTTTATGGCAATCTTCTCTCCCAACAAGGGTTGATGATAGAAAGTACTCTTTGTTGCACTCGTTCAATAACATCACTAAGGTATTAATTAGGTAGTGCATAATGAAGGACCTGAGTATTATATTCAAGGATGGTCTTACACAGGTACAATAAAAGAGCAGTAACGCTGACGGTGGGGTTTTTGTTCGTTTGAGTTGGATGATAAAATAAATCCGCTTGTTTGCCTTCTTAACGATATTGTTGACATGCTGGTTCCATTTTAGATCGTTACTAGTCGTTAGGCCCAAGATTTTGACATGATTAACAATGTCTAAATTACTGCCGTTGATACGGATATTTGAAAAATCTAATTCTTCCTCTCCAAAGTGTATGAAAAATCTATTCGTCCCTTCTAAACTCTTTACATTTGGTGCGTTACTGGTTATGTTGGAGGAAAACATGGTCCAAATACAATAGCTGTTAATGAGATTCTTTTGTTAGCTCTCCTCCAATATGGCCGCCATGACATCAATTGCAAACCAAGAATTGAGTTGCAAACGTTACATTTGGCGCTATTGAGTTGTAGCCGATACAACACGGTCGCTCATGTTGTAAATAGTTTGATAGTTTCAAGGAATTTTTTTCTTTCACTAAATGCTTCATAGTTTTTTCTTAAATTGCACTCTTTGCATGATTACCCCCCTCGTTCCCAGGATATGTAATGGACCACCCCTTAGATTTGACTTCTACCGCTAACTAGAAAAGTGATGGGGGTTGCGGGGGATTCGCGCAAAGGAACACAAAAGAAAAAATTCGTGCAAATAGGAAAGCAAAGAAAAACCCTTAAAATTCGGGAGAAAACATTCGAGGGGGGGGGGGGGAATTGTGCAAGCTGAATTCTCCCTCCCCCTTTTAACCTAAAGGTAACGGTGAGGGTAGTGGAAGTCAAATGTAGACTTCACTAATGTCAGTAAGAGGAATATGTAGACAGGTCCGAGGACACTCTACATGCGAAAACAGTCTTTTAAAAAAGGTGGCTCCCTACACTTTTTAAATTAAAGATTTTCTGATTTGGATATGATTTTCTGGACAATTATTACTTGTTTAAAATCGAAGAGTATCTGACTGGCATAACATAATAACTAAAGAGTTCAGAATTTTTCAAAAACTACTCCTAACAGCCGTTGCTATGGCAACAATGACGTCACAACAAGGCGGATATTTTATGTTTAAAGTAATTTAACTCGAAAAAAACTTCGGTGACCCCCATTTTTTATTTTATAAAATGATTTCTATTGGTATTTTGAATTATTTTCATGAATTAAAAATGCCAAAATTTTTTAAGATAGGAAAATGTGAAAACTCGTAATGATTTTTTTTTAAATCATGAAAATAATTCAAAATAATAAAAGAAATCATTTTATGAAATAAAAATGGGGGTCACATATGTCCTTCTTGTAGGTCTATTGGCAGCTCTTCCTGTTGTTAATCAATAAACGGCGAAGGTGTATTACTGGGGAGAATGCTACACTGCACCATCCCAGTCTCTTCCTCAGAGTGACTGTACAATGTTCATCCTTATCTTAAAATTAGAATTAGGGTTAGTACTATAGCGCATGGGTAAGGATTATGATTATTTTCCTAAATGATTTCTATTAATAATTTGTTTCTACGTTGGTATGTGCAGTCAACCTGAGCAAGAGACTGGGCTGTCTGTTCAGTGGTATTAGAGAACTTTTATTGAAGTTTTATGTGGTTTTCGTAGTGTAAATTCCTAGTTATAATTTATGTGTGGGGTTGCCTTGTTGGGACTTCGAGTCCGTCCGCCGATCCCATATCTAACTCGCCTTTGTTTGTTGTATTAATATCTTTTGTTTCGTTCTCACATAGTAGTGTAAATTTCGCGAGTTTGATTAAAGCTTCTTATTAAAATATCCGGCAGCAACGGCAGTACTCCTTAGTTTTTATGTTATATACAAGTCAGATACTCTTGGTTTTAAAAACAAATAATACTCCAGAAATTCATATCCAAATCAGAAAATCTTTAATTTCTAAAAAAGTGTAGCGAGTCACCAAGTCTGCCTCCTCCGCAGGCTCTTGGCACATATCAGTCGTAAATATAGATCAGTGGAGGCAGATCTTGAATCGTATACGTGATGATGTAAGATGACACGGAAAACCGCAGATAACTCAATTAGTCCGCACATATCTGTTCATGTTTGAATAACATTTTCTGCCGTCCAAACTAGCCCTTAGAACATGATACTTTTGTCTCAGGTTGAATCTAAAATCTTCGTTGGTAATAGGGTTGGTTAGTGAGTGACTTTACAATATGAAAGATAGGTTTACTGTGTAGAGCAGGATAACTTATCACTGTATCCAGTCCGAGACCAGCGTGATTGTGCTAATAAATCGCTCATGCATAACAATCCTCCGTATTTAAAAGTCTCCACTTTCAAAGCCATTTTCGAGAAGCCCATGTTTACGGACGAAGGAATGTATGAATGGTCTATTTTCCATCATGTTAGTGTATACGATCGGAGAAAAGTACAAATGTATGCGTTTTCAAACGAAATCGATTAGTGACGACGGCTCCTGAACAAAATATGAACTATATATACTACCTTCGAAGACGATGTTGTTCCGTTGCTCGACGCATTAGAAGATACGGTTATCATGGTAGGCATACTGGGTGAAGATGCACCTTGACCTGCTAACGGCATGCACAGTAAAAATGCTGTCAACAATTGATATATCTCGTGTCTACGGCAAAAAACCATCATTGCAAAATACTTTACTTCAGATCTGAGAGACTGAGCATAAACAATGTTCACACTTCTAAGTTCCTTTTAGCAGTGTGCGGTTGAATTACAAAAATGCCAAGTTTATGTGCACACTGACTGTGACGTGATTTTGAAATGAACCAATAGAAGAGTATGAGATAATTTAGTACATGTCACATGAAAGTGTTGATCGCATTAAATTTTCTCAAAAAATCGTTTCACAGATAATCCATTTATTAGGCCTACACATGTGTTTTGCATGGATGGTACACATGGCGTGTTGTCGTGATTATGGAAAACATTAAACAGATCAGCTTTATCTTCAAGTACACGTTAAATTAAATCAATCTTGTCCTTGAGCTTGTATTATTCTGTTTATGAGAGATAGAAGTTAGAATAAAATAGCCATCCTGAACTATTTATATGTAATATACCAGTATTGACAACAAACTAAAGCAGTAATATGTGTAGAGATACTAAATACGACAGAATTTCGGACCTAAACTCGTTGTTTCTTCCTGAGCTTATTTGCATGAGAAGTTCAACAGTTATAGGCGCAACTCATGCTACGACGTTTACACTGTAACAGATAGCTTTCCGTAGCGACGTGAAAAACATCTATTCGTACCTTTTAGGAACGCTATTTTCAGAGGAATTATTGTAACGGAGAGATGTTGTTTCGTTCAGCTTCTGAAAGTAGTAGATGAGTGAATGCATTCTATATTTTTTATTTAAACCCGTCATCTGTATGCAATTCGACTAAACGGCTTCTGAAAAAACGCCGAAACTTTAAGGCGCGTAAAGCTGTATTTTATCTATTGCTCATGCATACTCCATTAAGTCCATTTTATTAACCGCTTCTTCGCTTTTGTCGCTATTTTTTAAAATTAGCAATTCAGGGTGAAAGATCATTATTTTGCAATTTGTACATTATAAGTTGGACGTTTGTACCGGGTTTAGTAAGTGCAGGCATATGTCATCAGGTGAAGTTGTTATTTGAGGCATGTAGTAAAACACTGACTACCGGAACACCGCCGGAACACCACCGGAACACCACCTAACCCTAACCCCAACCCTAACCCCCAATCCTAACCCTAACCCCAACCCTAACCCCCAATCCTAACCCTAACCCCAAACCCTAACCCCAAACAAAATGGTGGTGTTCCGGTGTTCCGGTGGTGTTCCGGTGTTCCGGTAGTCAGTGTTTTACTACATGCCGTTATTTGATAATAAAACGTGCTGTGGACAATGGTTGACCATGAGGCATGAGTCCGCATGACTATATTTGAGGGAATTTATGCTTATTTTCTCATGGAACGTCAAACGTTTTGTAAAGACTTCTACAAACCAATCTATGGTTTGATATGCTGCAATTTTCCTCTCCTGACGTATGTGAACGAGTAGATGAGTTATGAATATTTAGATGATTGTACATATAGTGATATACTCAGAACATTCATAACTTATTCACTCGTTCACATCCATCAGAAAAAAAGAAAATCGCGCTAGAAATTGCAGCAAGCATCTGATAAAACACGCACTGCGAATGTTTTAAATTGCTTCAAAAACGATCGATCTAGTAGTAAGTTCACTGGCGAAGTAATTAAGTCGAAAAGTTATATAAATCAAAGGAAATCTCTTTCACATATAAAGAATACGACACACTTATGATTTTTCTTTGTGTTTTCCTCATGAATTATTAATGAGTTTTTGAAGGCCGTTTAACGGTACCGTATCGTTTTCTTTTGTTTGAAAGTAATTAGTTCCATCAGCATTTGGCAGTTAGGGTTAGGGTTGACATAATTATGGACGCAAGTCAACTCTGACCCTATAAATTATAACACAAATTTGGCAGCAAGACTGGACTGAGTGTTATTGTTCTTAATTAACATCTGGAGAATAGTTCAGAAATGTCTTAATTCATATCATCGCCACTCCTTTTGCACAAACTTGAAAAAGTTCGTGAACAAAAGTTTCACGCCAACTAAATGATTCGCACGAATCACGATTTTTCATTAGCGCATTACGCTTTCCAGTTCACCGATATAACACAAATTGATCTGGATCTAAATTAAAATCCTGCAGATTAACTTTTTCTTGTGATTGAAAACAGAAATCTGGCGACGTGCACCAAAACAATTACTGCTACGTGTCGCGCATAATTCGTCTGTGAATTAAGATCTTAAGATGATATTCAAAATGTACATCAACACCGTGATTAAGTTCAATCATATTCCAGTCTCTTCTGTTCATGTTTATTCAAATTTGCGCACGGTACGAGGAATTTTTCGCCCCGTAGTCTTGAAATATTAATAAGCAATTCTATAATTATCTTCTTGACTGGATAAATATTTGTGTTTTGACATGCTGATGTTATTCCAACTTATTTGTATGCAGCGATGGTAATCTGGGCTTATGAGTTATGTTCAAAATCTCAGTTGAATAGACACCCATGCCCTCCTCCGCAAGCAACTCTATAGTTACAGCCATAGATATCTTATATACACTAGATAGCGCATCTCTTTTAGTAAAATTGAAGCCAAGAATATTCCAGCGGTTACCCCCATTTGAATTGTTACCCAATTTTTGAATTGCAAAATAATTAGATGCACTATCTAGTGTATATAAGATATCTATGGTTATACAGCTGTTAATAATTATATTGTACTCAAAAAATTTTTCCAAACAAATTTTGCCTCACGTTCGTTCAAACATATTTGACAACTTTAGATATAACTCACAAGCGTCGTGACAATTGTTCTAGTTTACCACGAGTTTACAGAGTCATAGAATAGAATCCTCGTTGACATCAGTAATCATCACTGAAGAGGTCACCCTACGGAAATAAATGTGCGGTTTGATTTGAACAAAGGGAGTTTAGGTTTTTGTCGAGGGTCGAGTGTCGAGGGTCCAATGTCGAGGGTGAGGGTAAAAAGTCGAGGGTGAGGGTAAAAAGTCGAGGGTGAGGGTAAAAAGTGGAGGGTCATATACAAAAGTCGAGGGTTGTATTTACGACAACTAAGACAATTACTAACGATAAAAGAGTTTTTAAAACGGTTTTTCTCCTTATGTAAATCATGAATTGAGGGACAATTCTGGTCTAGAAACTAACTCATTAAGTTTATGGTTTGGGTCGTCTGGTTAAAAAGTTTCACGCACGCAGCATGTCTTCTAGCGAGTAATGTCTCCAGGCCACTTTTGATTAACTTAAGGCATTCTTAGTAAAAAGGCGGAATTTTTTCATTAAAAGCAAAGTTAAAGAGTATTTATTATCAATAGTACACTTAAAAGAATTTCTAAACGTAGTATAATTTCATAAACAGGCCAATGGCAATGTTCAACCTCGCATCAAGCAAAGGTCTCCGTCCCGCCGCAGGTATGGAGACCCTTGCTTGCGAGGTTGGTCAATGACAATGTTTGGTTAATCACTTAGCGTTCATTGGTTTCTTGAAACAGTGGCATGTCTGCACCGCGCTAACCGCGCTCCGATCTAGCAGAAAACACACAAGTTTTTTAATCATAACTTGCTATTGGTAATATATTTTGCCTTAATATATTGTCATTACTGGCTTGAGGATTACAGTTACCCGATAATCTGTGCTGTTACGTTAATTTGATAAGAAAGCAAAGAGACCGTTCTCATATTAGACATAAACATGTTAACTAGCGAGCGTGAAGGGGCTTAGAAAATAATCGCTTAGCTAGAAAATTTACGCAAGGTAGTATCTTTTAAAAGTTAATGTAGTTCTGCATACATATATATGATAAGTCCATGTCACAACATTAAACAAGTTATTTTGCCCGCAAATTTCGACCCTCGACTTTTTTTATGACCCTCGAATTTTTACCCTCGCCCTCGACTTTTTACCCTCACCCTCGATTTTTTACCCTCATCCTCGACATTGGACCCTCGACCCTCGACAAAAACCTAAACTCCAACAAAGGTAACCAAGCATATTAGAATTATAGACATGAGTGAATACCCATTGTACATTTTTCTAATGCTTAGTTACCTTTGTTCTTTGACTATGCTCCTGTGAACTACAGTGGAGCTAAACTTGAGCAACCGTAGCCAGGCATATATGAGTTATCTATAGACCGTCTGCATGGGATCAAGTCATAGCGCCGATAATAGTGACTTTTTCGAGTATTCTAAAATTGGCCGTTGATTGGTATAACCCAGCTTAATGATGAGCTAATGGCCGTTTTCCATTTCAACCGTATCGAAGCGTAGCCGATATTTCTTTGTTTCCTCAAAAGAAAATTCTACTATACGTTATGTTACGGTTGAAATGCATGGGAAAACGGCCCAGAAACGTAGCAAATACAGTATGATGAATATTTAATATCAAATGGCGCGACGGGATTACTTATGAATATTATGAATATTGTAGGAAGTAATAGGATGATATGGAGGATAAGATGCGCTTACGATTACGCGGACGTGACAAAAAAAATAAACCGTTATTTTTGTTTTGCCGGTTTACTGATTTGTTTTTCATCTGCATCAGTCCTCGTCGAAAATTAATATTCATACTCGTGTTGTCCTCACGCCCGCGCGCTAGATTTATCTCATATTATTTACGTTGCTCAGGTTTATTCTCGTATCGTTCTTCGTACGTTTCTGATAAAAAAATCTTTAATTATTGATATTAATTAAAAGTTTTCTGAGAACACAATTTATCGTTGAAAAACTTGATTTGTACAAAGAGAATACAAATTGCTATATGGAAACGTGCCAAAGCAAAGCGCGTCTTTGCGGTCTTGTACGTGAGGGAGATTACAAGGTCAAATCGAACATAGTCATAGAACAAAACATTTGACAAGTGCCGTCGAAGTCAGACTTGTTATGTTGACCTGTTCAGTAGTTTTATTATGTAGACCCTTATAACCTTAGGTATATATTGTTCGTCGCTATAGCTACACTTGGAACCACACTTTCAAAGTCTTCCCTGTTCCATATTCTATGTTAAAAATTCTTGCCAAAGTTTTAAGGTACTTTTCACGCACTCAATGTGATGAATGAGTCCGGGTAATAAAACAGCAATATTACGATCATTTGATGTACCAGGCCTAGAAAATATATTTTTCTTCTAGCTGGCAGCAAAATTCAGAAATAGAAATTTCCGGTGTGTATGTATAAGTCCTCATGATAGCCAAATGTATAAGTCCACATTGTGATTCTATAGTAGTATAGATTCCAGAGAGAGTATGGTGGCGCACATTGTGATGCTACAGTAGTATAGATTTCAGAGAGAGTATGGTGGCGCACATTGTGATGCTACAGTAGTATAGATTTCAGAGAGAGTATGGTGGCGCACATTGTGATGCTATAGTAGTATAGATTTCAGAGAGTATGGTGGCGCACATTGTGATGCTACAGTAGTATAGATTTCAGAGAGAGTATGGTGGCGCACATTGTGATGCTACAGTAGTATAGATTTCAGAGAGAGTATGGTGGCGCACATTGTGATGCTATTGTAGTATAGATTTCAGAGAGAGTATGGTGGCGCACATTGTGATGCTACAGTAGTATAGATTTCAGAGAGAGTATGGTGGCGCACATTGTGATGCTACAGTAGTATAGATTTCAGAGAGAGTATGGTGGCGCACATTGTGATGCTATTGTAGTATAGATTTCAGAGAGAGTATGGTGGCGCACATTGTGATGCTATGGTAGTATAGATTCCAAAGAGAGTATGGTGGCGCACATTGTGATGCTATAGTAGTATAGATTTCAAAGAGAGTATGGTGGCGCACATTGTGATGCTACAGTAGTATAGATTTCAAAGAGAGTATGGTGGCGCACATTGTGATGCTATAGTAGTATAGATTTCAAAGAGAGTATGGTGGCGCACATTGTGATGCTATAGTAGTATAGATTTCAAAGAGAGTATGGTGGCGCACATTGTGATGCTACAGTAGTATAGATTTCAAAGAGAGTATGGTGGCGCACATTGTGATGCTACAGTAGTATAGATTTCAAAGAGAGTATGGTGGCGCACATTGTGATGCTATTGTAGTATAGATTTCAGAGAGAGTATGGTGGCGCACATTGTGATGCTATGGTAGTATAGATTCCAAAGAGAGTATGGTGGCGCACATTGTGATGCTATAGTAGTATAGATTTCAAAGAGAGTATGGTGGTGCACATTGTGATGCTATAGTAGTATAGATTTCAAAGAGAGTATGGTGGCGCACATTGTGATGCTATAGTAGTATAGATTTCAAAGAGAGTATGGTGGTGCACATTGTGATGCTATAGTAGTATAGATTTCAGAGAGAGTATGGTGGCGCACATTGTGATGCCATAGTAGTATAAATTTCAGAGAGAGTATGGTGGCACACATTGTGATAAACTTCCATCTTGGTACAAGACAATCTCGACTTGCAAAATGCTTTTGTAAACACAATAAGTAAATTATATGGCATTCCAGTATATGAGATGACAAACATTTCCTGCTATAGGCCAAGGTGTAAGAAAATTTCCTGGGAAGATATTTTGTTAGAAATTTCCTGGCAGCGGTGCTGCTGTCGCTTCCGGACATTTTCCTGCTCAGCGATATGCTTATACGTCTTATATATGCTAGCAAACCAAAGGTCATGGGTTCGATTCCCACCGCGTTCAAGAAAACTTTTCGCTTGCCCGGTGTGAACACACTCAGAGAAACATCGCAATCAAATATATAACTATTTGTCATTTACCCAAGCTGTGCCCTTTTTATTCAACCTCTTTGAGGATGCTGCATATGCCGGCTTTCTCATCCTCTCGACATTCCCTTCTTATGAAATTCGGCCGTGAGACTTTGCCCCAGCAGTTGTGTTAAAAATCCCCAGATGAGTCTAATCTCTTGCACATGAACATAGCAAACACCTGTTCAAATATAGAGTAAATCTGACAACTGAAGAGATTACATACAGTATAATCCGCGGATTATAGTACACTTAATATTTATTTATTACACTTAATATTTACGTTCACCATAGATACAGCCACAATACAGGCTGTTCCAGAAAATAGCTTTGTTCCAGATTTTTACACAGCTGTTAGAGAGCTGTGAGCATCGTAAATTGAATCTAAGAGACAAATTTTGAGACAAATATTCTAAAAGCTCACTCACACTCAGAGAAGAGTGGAGGTTCAATCTGAGCTTCCCTTGAGTGTCAGTGCTGTTTTTGAATAGCTGAAGGGTTAGTGTCGTACCTTACTATGACCTATGTGACTACTCGCCCTCCAGCTATTCAAATACAGCACTGACACTCAAGAGAAGCTCAGATTGAACCTCCACTCTTTGAGTGTGAGTAAGCTTTCAGAATACAGGCGTAAGATTACTAAACTTGATCTACCGGGTGCCCCCCCCCCAAAAAAAAAAAACAACTGGACACTGTTTGATTTCATGTAACGTAAAAGCTATAAAATCTTTCGTAATGACATAAAGATCATTGCATTAAAAAAGGACTAAGTGCCCCCCCCCAAAAAAAAAACTGGACACTGTTTGATTTCATGTAACGTAAAAGCTATAAAATCTTTCGTAATGACATAAAGATCATTGCATTAAAAAAGGACTAAGTGCCCCCCCCCCCCAAAAAAAAAACTGGACACTGTTTGCTTTCATGTAACGCAAAAGCTATAAAAGCTTTCGTAATGACATAAAGATCATTGCATTCAAAAAGGACTAACTTATATTTTGATATATAACACTTGAATTTACATGCAATATTGAGCGAGATACGACCAAAATAAAGACATTTATCATTTAACAAGTATAACTACATCGGTAAGAGTTGTTCAACGTTCAAACATCAATAGCGCAGTTCTTCTAAACATCAATAGCGCAGTTCCGGTAGTAGAAGCGATGTTACGGGCGGCTATTTGTGCCTCTTGATACTTTACACAACTAATACATGATTTGGGTGAATATAATTAGACTTTATTTTAAAGCCATAACAGTCGTTCTACTATAGACCAATTTACTCTTAGTGTCAAAATTCATCTCTTAGATTTTGATACCTGTCACGTTTTAGGGGGATCCATGGGCGTACCAATCTCGTCGTGGCAAAGTGGGATCATATAAACAGCCTCTTATTCAGCCTTTGATCCCTTGGGAGTGAGGCAGCACTTTCCTTGCGATAGTAACTTCTTCTAGACTTTTGTAATTTTGTATTCCTTTGTATTTTAAACATAAACCTTACTCTAATCCTAACCCTATCTTAATCCTTTCCCTAATCTAAATCCTAATCCTAAAAGTCTAAAAATAGTAACTCCCTCTAAAACGTGACTGGCATATGCTTAGATTAAATTTCCGATGCCCACTAATACATAGCTGTGTAAAAATCTCGAACATATACCTATTGCATTTTTTTTCGGGACATCTTCGTGGGAATTAGCGGTTAAAGAATTGGATTATAAGGAAAGATCCATGCGAACCACATTCCAGCGGCTTGCGCCCATCACACCTTTACAAATAGTGGTGAAAAAATAATAATCTTTTGTGAAAAAATAATAACGTTTTGCTTTAGACCGTAACACTTTGCGCGCCAATCAGCAAATAACCATATGTTGCGCGAGCAGCGCATGCAAGGCAGACCTCAACAGCGGCACCCAACATTCGGATCATGCATGGTTTACTAGCTATTGACTAAAAAGGTACAGTTCAGCCTTTTGATTGATGGTTTTTAAGGTATATTTCAGCCCTTTTTATTGAAGAAACTAACTAGGAAAATCAATTATGCATAATTCAAAATCAGTAAACTCATTGTTTTTAACAATAAAAATGTTTTAAAATGTTAAAAACATTAAGTTTGCCGATCTTGAATTATGCATAATTGTTAGTTTCTTCAATAAAAAGGGCTGAAATGCGCCTTAAAAATCATCATTCAATGAACTGTGCCTTTAATATATAACCTCATTAGTTATTTTCCTTCAAATGGCGTTCATATCACAGACCCAGCTCGATTTGTAGGGTGGTAAAAGCACAGCGTCTGCTCAGCTTTAGTAGCCCATTAAAGCAGGCGGTCTACACCTGAACAGCGGGCGAGACGAAGAACGCTTCGCCCGACTTTTAGGTGCGCCTCGCGGGTCTGCCTGCATGCAGGCTAGAGTTGGGTAGTTACAATCTGAATTTCAATATCTATTTCAGCATTGTTGTGGAAGTGCGATAGAAGACTTCTTGAACAATTGTGAAATTCATACATGGAGGTACGATTTTACTCTTTATTCTATATATAGAGATACAAGATATTCAATACCACATATATGTTAGACTATTCCACTTCAGTGGGTCCTCGGAAAAATTTATGTATATCTATTGTGACTAATTAAAATTAGCGCAAAATATCTTGGCTGATAGACAGCGGCAAGCCGAAGATGCGTAACGATATTTTTGCTGCGGTGGTGGCGCAACGGTTGAAATTGCATTGCCGTCGCACAAGGTGGCTACACCTGTCTCTTTTGTGGCAATGCATAATTTATGACTCATTTATAATTCATTTCATCAGATGGTCAAGAAGCCTTGACCTCACCCACTGACTTCACCCCCTGACCTCACCTCCTAATTCTCGGCTATCGTGGCTCAAATTCTCAAAATGAAATGATTTGAAATTTCGGCAACTATTGCAGAAGGTTCGCGTTGCCGTCGCAAAACATGATCTACACAAGCAATTTTTCTCTCGCAACAGCAATGTCAAGATTTTACCGCCATTGCATTGCGATCGCCAGAAAATATTGCCCATGTATCGGTAGCTTGAATCAAATGATCCTAATGTTGCTGTTTTATTGTTATTATTAAATACTATTTAAAACACGACAACGAGTGTTTTGAATAGCTTAAAATACGACTACAAAAGAATACTAATTAGGATGAACAATTATATAATAATACTAATAGGATGAACAATTATATAATGCCACATGCATGCATGTGTTTTATCAGATATATAATCACTCCATGACGTGACATATTATAGCTGATCATGACATGTTTGCCACAAGGTTCATGAATTATTAATGATGTATTTTAATGATCTTTAAACACTGTAAACTTTCACATAAATGATTTTCGAAGGGCCGCGCGGAAAATACATACATCATAAGAAGAGAATAAATTATTACTAATATATCAACTAAATTATACTTAAGTTCTTTGTATGTTTGCATGGTGATAAAATATAATAGGTTTTGTTTGTGGAAACACCACGTAAATTTATTACTGCAAAATTAAATTATACTTATTTACAATATTTGAATATAAAAACAATTAAGGTTTATATGCTGATGTAGATGTGATAATTTAATAGCTTATGGACAATTTTTAAACTTATAATAGTTTTGTTTGTGGAACCACCACGTAAATTTATTACTGCAAAGCTTTCGATCCGTAAGCCCGGATCTTCATCAGTGCTAATAATATGTTATTATTATATATTATATATATATAATAATATGTTATCATATTATTAGCACTGATGAAGATCCGGGCTTACGGATCAAAGCAATAATAAATTTACGTGGTGTTTCCACAAACAAAACTATTATATGTTTTATCGCCATGCAAACATACAAAGAACTTAATTTTTAAACTTTTTGACTCTCTTAGGATTTTCAACAAGTTTATTGGGAGTTGTTCCAATGCGTTGCTCCTCTGTAGTACTGTACGAAAAGCTATTTTTCAAGAAATTCGTTTCTGGTTTAGGTTGAAACAGCTTTAAATTACTACTGTGCAGTTCGTAACCACTGTTTTCATAAGTGTGAAATAATTGTGTTATATATTGTGGAAGCATTAATTGTTGTTCAGAATTGCGCGAAATTTGTTCACAATATATGGCGGCCAAACTTTCAAGATATTGCGGTTGTGTAATGTGCTTTTTCTTGTCACGTTCATGCAAATGCATGTTCAAGGGTCCTTTCCAATGGAATTAAAGGTTTTCTCAAGAGATCAAAATTAGAATTTTGAATTGCCCTTTAGAAAAGTGCTTAGAAGAGGAAAAGAAGCGACCACTTTGAAAGTTTGTTTGATTCCTAATATAATTTAGAGAACGCGCATGCAAATCGGATATAGGAATGAAAGAAAACTGATGCAGGATTTCGGAAATGTTCTTTTTATTAAACGAAGTATAGGGTAATTCTCTTCGATTCAGAATTTTAAACAAAGTGCTGACTTTTGGCGGTGCATTTGGAAAGTATACAGAATGCAAATATCATGTTGCCATCTGTGCAAAAAGCCATCTGCAAAAAGTCATTAACTTTGTGATAATTTTATTTTTGTGTCATACTTTGGGTGTCAAATCAATCATTTATCCAATAATATCGATAGAACACGTTTATGAAATATCTTGATAAAAAGTCCAGATGAAATTTTGTAGTCTCACTGACACTGTAAGTTGTTCACGAAACAATTAATGCGAGGGTATTACTTTGTTTTAAACCTAACCCGTAGCTACTCTACTAGTTCATTAATTTTGGACAACACTTCGGCACTGCATGGCGTGGGTAAAACAAACGGTTCCTATACCAAAGCTGTGAACATCTGCAGGTCTTTGCAAGACAAGTATGCTGCTCTATAAAAGCCAGGCTGAATATTCAACATTTCATTGTGCTCAAAAGTGAACAGTAAAACATTCTGCTAAATACAAAGTTGTTGAAGAAGCGTTCGAGAAACTGAACTCCTGCAAAAGTCATGAAGAATTTCTTGGTCATCTTGCTTGTGTTATCTACCATGACCCTGTGCTTGGCGAAGCCGAAATGGATATGGTTAGATGAGGAAGAGAAGAATGGTGGGAATTTCAACGATGAAGTATTAACAAGAGAAAAAGGAAAGAATGAGGAGAATCCGATGAAAGAATGGAAGAAGAGAATTAATCCTACATATGGGTGTACACAGCCCCAGTGTGGGAAATAAATACTAACTTCAATACATTAATATATCTTACAGTCTTAATTATTCACATGATATTGATAATAAAATTATGATCGTTCAGAAGAGATGATTGCGGATAAACTACCTCGAATTACTGCGGGTATGTCTGTGTTTTTAGTATGTTTCAAAGGGCTTGGTTCCAGGTTAATAGAAAACACGCGCCATTTCGCTTTGTGATTGAACTATCGAGCGTGAAACACTGGTCCAATAATGAAGTAAACTGCCCCGCCCCCCCCCCCCCCTCAAATCGTCAGTCGGTCGGCAAATAGTTTTACAAGTGTCGACTGGTAAAACTATTTGCCGACCGACTGGGGGGGGGGGGGCAGTTTACTTCATTATTGGAATATGAAGGAATTGGATATGAAGGAACGAAAGTAAAAACGTCTGAAAAGGACCGCGGAGCCATTTTTGGATTAGGGAGGCTATAGCGAACGCCGAAGGCGTGAGTTTGTTAGGGGAGTCCGGGGGCATGCTGCCCGGAAAATTTTGAAATCTGAGACCTCCCAGAGCCCCGGAAATGCAATCAAATTTACTAGTTGCTGTTAAAAAATTTCTTCATATACGACTCTTAATCTAATATTACCCATCATTTGTTTAATCGAACCAGAAATAGATTGAATACTTGGCTATATAAGTTATAAATATATTGTTAACTAATCTGAAAGATTCCAGTATTCTTAGTTTATAAAAATCACATATGTATGGCAAATTATTGGGGGTAAAGCCCCCAGCCCCCCCCCCCCCCCCCCCC